GTTAATGTGACTAATTGAGTTAGAATGGGTCTTAAGGCTCCTTAACGGGTCCATTTGGACCTTAATGGGTATAACACGTGTCCGTTACTTTTATTCCAGTCAATTTGATCAAAATGATACTAAATGAGTCATAACTAATCTGATTAGACCCTAATGGGTTTATAGGCCCATTTCTGCATAAAAGGAGTCTAATTGACACAAAATGACACTAATTAGGTCATACTTAGTTTGATCAGGCCTTAATCGGTATAATAAGGTTATTTCTCCTATTTCAGTCTAGTTGAGCTATAATGGTACTAAATGGGTCATAATTAGTCTCATATTTAGTTTGGTCGGACTTTTTTTTTTTTTGTTGAAAAGAAACCAGGCAAATTTATAAACCAAAAAGGAAATACAACGGGAAGACAAAAGTTTGACCATTACATACAAAGTAAAAATCCAAAGACGTAGCCAACACCTCATACCAAGCCACAACAAGCCAAAAAGAACACAGCCCAACAGGCTTAAACAGACAACAAAAAATAAAATAGAGGAGCATAAAACACAAAGAAGCTCCCCAATCCCAAAGGCAATCCACCTTATCAACCAACACTTCACACAGGCCGCCTCGACAACCAATCCGCACGACTTGAAATAGACTCAATAATAACTTTGATAAGTTGTGAAGTTGTGCGGCTTTCCTCAGTAAAAAGACGTTTATTTCGCTCCTGCCAAATGTAAAACACAGACGCTGCCAACGCAAGCTTTTTCTTTAACCTTTCAGTCGTTGACTTGAATCCGAAATTGTGTCCAAAATAAGATCCCATGTATATGGCATATCTGTCATATCCGTAATATGCAAAATACTACCCCACACTTCACGAGCATAAGAACACTGAAAGAATAAGTGGGAATCGCTATCCATGCAATGTCTACAAAGCAAGCATTCCAGATCTGGAGGTTCATCATTCCAAAGCATACGATCTTGTGTAGGAAGACGCTTCTGACAAGCTAACCACAAACAGAATGCATGCTTAGGGATATGGCCAGAGAACCATACCGCTTTGTGCCAAGGAACAATCGAGTGAGAACCCTCTAACACATCCCAAGCCTTACTCACCTTAAAATATGAAGCAGAAGTACGATCTTCACCCCACATAACTCTGTCCCGAAAAGAATCAATCAACGTAGGTAACAGAGAAGAATGTAGCTCAGTAAACCTGCTACTCCAATCATCCGGCCAAACATCCTCCCAACTCATCAGAAGATCACGAACCGTCATAAACGTGGAGAACCCACAAGAATGGACAAACCGGTAAGAGATAAAAGCCAAAAGATGACCACAGGAAAGCCAGTCATCCTCCCAAGCATTTGTATCTCGACCATCACCAATCTGAGTAATGAAAAATTTGCACAATTGACTACGCAAGTCCAATAGCTTACGAAAGACCCACGACCAATTTAAGCTTTTCCTAACCAACCAGAAGTTTGAGGAGCGAAGATTATGACTATATACCCAACAAACCCACAAAGAATCCCGATGTCTCAAAATATCCCACACATGTTTAGCAAGTAACGCTCTATTCCAAGTGGACAACCGCTTAATCCCAAGACCTCCAGATTCAAGAGGTCGACAGACCACATCCCAAGATAACCGACATCAACCTTGAGGATCATCCCTTGGAGCCCAAAGGAATTTCCTAAAAATAGATTCAATATCATGGATTACCCCAGACGGGAATAAGAATACCGACATCCAATGAAGCTGAAGGGATTGCAAGACCGATATTATAAGTTGCCAACGCCCTCCAAACGACAAAAACTTGGACTTCCAATTAAGAATACGACCCTTCACCTTAGCAATTAACGGAGCATAATCACATAGCTTCAACCGAGCCTGAGATAAAGGAACCCCCAAATATCGGACAGGAAACCAACCAAGCTTGAATGGAAGACACTCTAGAATGGCCTCCTTAATATTATGAGGCACATTACCAAAGTAAATTTCACTCTTCTCAAGGCTTGGTGCTAATCCCGAACGACTCTGAAAAAGAAAAAGAGCCTTCTTGAGCACTTCCACTGAAAGAACATCCCCTTTAGTAAACACAAACAAATCATCAGTGAAACAAAGATGAGTCAAATCCAGCTCCTCACAACCCCGATGGTACCCAAACTCAGTAGCTTCCCGAATACATTGCTTAAGGAGCATAGAAAACCCCTCCATTACAATCGTGAAAAGATATGGGGATAACGGATCCCCTTGTCTAAGACCCCTCCCTCCATGAAAAAACCCATAGGAATTACCATTAATCGCAAGTGAATAAGAAGTGGTAGAAACCATCTCCCTTATCCACTTAACTAGAACCGGATGGAAACCTAAACCTTGAAGCATAACAATGAGGAAACGCCAATCTACAGTATCATAAGCTTTTTTGATATCAATTTTAAACGCACATCTAGGTGGGCCCATAGAGGACTTGTACCCAGAAACAAGCTCATGTGCCATAAAAATATTATCCGTAATTCTCCTAACCGGAATAAAAGCCGATTGAGCTTTATCAATTAAGAAATCCAAAGATCCCTTCATTCTGTTTACAATGACTTTACTAATGCATTTGTAAAGCACTGTACAGCAAGCTATAGGCCGGAAATCCATAACCCTAGAAGCATCAACAGATTTAGGGAGAAAACATATAAAAGTATGATTCAAATTCTTCGGGAGGTTACCTCGATAAAAGAAATTGTGAATAGCAATCTCCACATCAAGACCAACAATATCCCACGCAGTTTTTAAAAACTTAGAAGAATATCCATCAGATCCAGGAGCTTTATAATTACCAATGCTAGACATAGCATTTTTAATTTCATCATTTAGAATTGGCCGGATCATGTAGTTAGCTTCCGACAAAGATAGCTTTCTTGTGAAAACATCAGCAGGCATATACGGATCGGAAGACACAAAAGTCTCACCCAAAAATTCTTTAAAATTATCAACAAACACTTTCGAGACATCTTCTCCATAGATGTAATCAACTCTGCTAGAACAGACTGAATTAATGGTGTTTGAGTAATGCCGCTCTTTGATGACATTATGGAAGAATTTGGTATTCATATCACCTTCATTCAATCATTTAATTTTGGCCCGTTGCTTAGCCGCACATTCCTCGTCCCAACAAGCATTCTGATATGCAATACGAATATGACCAAGTTCAAGACCCAACTCATCATTAGAAGGGTCCATATCTACATCCAGTTGAATACGATCTAACTCCGTCTTCAGAAAAGAGACACGTTTTCCAAGATTACCATAAGAATTCCGAAGTTTACGAAGCAATGTTTTGAGAGCTTTCAAGTGAGAAGTTATATGAAACATAAATGTGCCCTCAATATGATTAGCCCATTCATCCTTAACAACTTGTAAAAAAGCTGGGTGGTCAGTCAGAAAATTGTCAAATTTAAAACCATACCTCCTTTTTCGAGCACCACCTTTGAAAGATAAGACCATCGGCGAATGGTCCGAAAGGTCCAAAGGATGAATCTGTACACAAGCATCATGAAATTTAGAAGTAAACTCCGAATTTGCTATAGCCCTATCAAGTTTACGCATGATACCCCCTTTTGAGTTTGGCTTTTGGTTCCAAGTGAAATGGACCCCTGTGTAGTGTATATCAAATATTTCTACATCCTCAACACACATACAAAACTCAGACATATCCATATTACGCCGAGAAGACCCACCAAACCCGTCATGTGGAAATAACATAGAATTGAAATCCCCTATTACAATCCATGGATGAGAACCAATCAGAACTTTAAATTTCAGCAATCCTGACCATAATTCTCTTCTGGCAGTACACACATTAGCCCCATAAACCAGTGAAAAGAAAATATAATCTTGGCCACCCCGTAACAAAACCTTACAAATTAGGAATTGACTATGGATCTCCAAGACCATAACATCTAAAACTCGTGAATCCCAAGCTAGGATTATACGAGTTCCAGACTCACACACAGCTTGGTTTGACATCCAATACCATCGACCAAAAGAATTATGGCAAATGCTTTCTAGGGAATCTTTAGAAACATGCGTCTCTACAATGGCACATAAACATAAATCATTACAATGAATAAAATTCCTCACCTCCTTTTGTTTAACTGGAGAGTTGAGCCCCCGGATATTCCACGAAGCAAAGTTTAACATGATGAAGAGGGTGGTACATCCCCTTGACCCCGATTATCCTCATCCACATTCCGCTCAACAGGATCTTTTCCAACACCATCATTAGAGACCAATGGAACATCCTCTCCCCCTAAATTCTCAAGAACCCCAAATCGGTTAGAAGCTTCCACAGGGTCTTTCATAACCCCTCTTCACGGTAAACGGAAGTTTTTTATCACAGAAGAAAGAAGAGGAGTAGATGTAGAATGAGAAGATTGGGAAGACTGGGAAGAAGAGGTCCTAGAAACAACATTCATACCTGAATCACCAGAAGCATTCCTCGCATTATTTCCATGTTGAACAACCGGGTTTACTTTAGAAGTACCCATATTCCTTTCCTTTTTCTGTTCTCGACGTGATGTAAACGGTTCCAAGGACGGAGCTTGAGGGCCATATTTCTCAATCTCAATTACCTGCCGGGTACTAGATTGATTATGCTTACCTCTACATTTGGGACGCCATTGTTTTTTCTCCACTCGAATAAACCCTTCTGAGTCTTTTCTCATATCGACGTGTTTCCCTTTATTGAGACTAGCAGCTTTTGCACAGGACAAGAATTTGTGACCAAATATTTGGCAATGGGAACATTGGATCGGCTCCCATAAGTATGCAACCTCTATTTGTACTCTTTCAGTATCCCCGCCATTTAAGTTTGGAATTTCCACCTCAATTTTCCTTTTTAGTTCCCCAATAGCCCAGACCTCAACCAACACTTTAACAACCTCGGGCCGACCCCAAGCCTTCTCACACATTGCAGCAGTACAAGAATCCATCTGTTTAGGAATGCCCAAAACACTAGCTACACGACTAACACCCTCTCTATTGAAAGCAACTAGAGGAATGTTATGCAATTTCACCCACAACGGACAAGAGGAGTGTACAGGTTTCCTCAATCCCTTAGAGGGATCCCAACGATGAAGAAATAGAGGAATACCGCTTATCATTAATGGCCCAGCTTCAATTGCCTGATCACACCCTCCTACATCATTAAACTTGAAAAAGAAAATCCCATTTTCATTTAGCATTGCATCATTGAATCTGAACTTTCCCCACGTCGTCTAACAAAGTTTTTCACTAAGGGAAAAGGTATACGAGGGCCCAAAAAATAACTATACAATACCGAATTATATGCTTTAGCCGCTTCCTTAGCCATTTCAATCGGTATTTTCACGCTTACTTCCTTTTTATCAACCAGCGGATAAAAATTGAGATCCGTAGCAAAAGAACATCCCACCGCTTTCACAAATTTAACTTGAATTTACCTCTCGACGCATTTTCGAGAGATGAAAGTCTCTCAAAAACAAAAGTTCTAGAAGTGTCAGTAGGTAAAGGAGCCGATTCATCCCCCTTTTCCATGGTACACACTAAGAAGCCGTGATGCTGAAACTAACGTTTAGCGCCCTTAATAAGATAGACGAAGACCTCGGAACCCGAGGTGCTGAATATCTATCAAGGAGATTCAACGAAAGTGACGAAGACCCCGGAAACACTTAGAATGTACGTAGAAAACGGGAAACCAAAACCAACAGCCCTCAAACCAAAAGAGAAGCAGAAATAAACGAAGAAGACCCAAGGATATCACCACCAGCAAAGTAAAATTCACCAAAACAGCAGTTAACCCAAAGAAAAAGAACCTGGACAGCAGCTAAATACAATCCACGTGAAGCAGTGTAGGAAGCTAGCAACCCAGATAATCCAGCAGCAAAACTCGTGAATAAATGAAACACAACAGCAAGTGTTACATAAAATCACAAAAGTTCAGCTATAGGCTAAACTCAAGCTGAAAACCACCGAGAAGACCACAATTCCTTGAATGAAACCAACCAACAGCAGCAAGGAAAATCTTTCAGCAAGGAAGAAAATCATGCAGAAAAATTAACCCCAGTCACGGACAGAATCCAGATCGAACAGAAGCCGTATAACTCATAAAATTATGCTTCAAAATGCATAAAATCATAAGGATGACAGCTATGATCAAGTGCAGGAGGAAGCAGAACCAAAACTGCATCAAAACTCAACAGCAGCACCCAAACCAACAAAAAAACCAGAAATAGCAAATACAATCAGCAGCTAGAGTCGTAGGGTAAGGCAAAACAGCAGCTTTCTACACAGTCCCTACAGATAACGACATCAGCTATTTTCTTGACCAAAGAGCAGCAGGATTCACATAAAATCATAAACCAACCAGCAGCCACTTGATAAAATGTGAACACAAAACAGCGGCAGTTACAAAATAAAACGAAAACCCTAGGAAGCAGCGCAACCCACTAACAAACAAAAGCGAATGAAGATCAATCAAAAACCAAAAGCCAAGACGCAACAGGAATCTGGAATCAATCACTGCCCTAACGAGAGACAACAGCAGGTAGGCAAGAAGAAACCCTAATACCGCCTACCACAACCACACCAGAACTGCGGCAACCAAACAAATAAGGAACAATGTACCATTTAAGATCCCTTATAACCGCCGGATAGGTCAGGACAAAACCCTAGAAGGTGCCCTACAGCCAACTAGCAACGATACAAAACAGAAACCAACCAGGCGGAGACTATAAGAGAACGATCTTACCACCAACACTAGAACAAACAGCGAAAACAAGAAACCGATGAGGGATCAGCCGTGATGAACAAACCCTAAAACAGATTTCGAAATGCCTCTGCCTTCACCAATGAGTAGCAAGAGCAAAACCAAAGAAAAAACACCCCAAACGCAATCAAAACACAGCCACAATGAACACTTTCACATAGCTTTGATCAAGAAGACAAACATCAAAACCCTAACTCAAGATCGCCATCTTGAGAGCAAAAGTCAACGTGGTCAACTAGGGTCCATGTAGTTTAGTTTAGTAAAATAGTTTGGTCGGGCCTTAATGCGTATAATGGGCTTATTTCTTCTATTTGAGTCTAATTGAGTTATATGATACTCAATGCGTAATAATTGCTCTTATCATAAGTTAATGGGAGTAATTGTGGTAGAATGGGTCTTAATGATCCTTAACAGGTCCATTTGGTGTTTGTAGATATAATGGGCATATTTCTCCTTGATAAGTCCAATTGGGTCAACGTGACACTAACTAGGTCATAATTAGTCTCATCAGGCTGTATAGGATTTAATTAGCACATTTTTTCACCAGGAGTCTAATTGGATCAAAAAGACACTAAATCGGTCATATTTAGTGTAACTAGACGTTAATGTGACTAATTGAGTTAGAATGGGTCTTAAGGCTCCTTAACGGGTCCATTTGGA